GCGCTGATGGTGCCTATGTGCAGGGCGGGGCTGTTGTTTTCGGGGACGAAGAGGGTGTAGGAGGATTGGGTGAAGGTCGGGGCGTTGTCGTTGACGTCGGAGACCAGCACTGTGATGTTGTGCTGGGTTTGGAGCCTGGGTGTCCCCAAGTCGGTGACGGTGATGGTGATGTTGTACTCCTCCATCCACTCTCGATCCAAAGGTCCCTCTGTTACCAGGGTATAGAAGTTTTCCACTGATGGCTTCAGGACGAAGGGAAGATCATCCCGGATAGAGCACACCATTTTCCCATTGTTTCCCGAATCTCTGTCTCTAATCTTAAAAACAGCAACGACTGTTTCGGGTGCGTTTTCTGCAATGGGGCTATTTAGTGATGACATGAGAAGTTCGGGTGGATTATCATTGATATCTGTTACCTCAATAATCACGGTACACTTTCCGGAAAGTCCTCCACCATCCTTGGCCTGGATAGTTAATGTATAAGTTTGAATTACCTCATAGTCCAGTTCGGCTTTAAGATAAAGACTGCCAGACCTTGAATTGATTTGAAACGTTTTGAGAATTCTTTCCGTGGCATAAAAAAACGCATACACTATTTCCCCATTGCTTCCTGTATCTAAATCTCTAGCTGACAAAGCGACAACCAGGGAACCCAAGGGGCTGTTCTCGGGCATCTTCACTTTGTAGAGGGACTGCACAAATTCTGGAGCATTGTCATTTATGTCTACCACCAGGATGCGTAGCCGTGTGGTCCCAGATCTGGGCGGAGAGCCCCCATCCAAGGCCGTGAGGATTAAACTGAGCTCAGGCATCTCCTCGCGATCCAGCGCCTGATCCAGTACCAATTCAGGAAAGATATTTCCTTGCTCACCATCATGCACGTTAATGTGGAAATAGGCATTGGGACTGATGGAGTAGTTACTCAGACTGTTGGTTCCGGCATCTGAATCCTGTGCTCTTTCTAGGAGAAATGTCACCCCTGGAGTGGCACTTTCTGAAATTTCTAACACAATTTCTCTGTCTAGGAATACTGGAGAATGATCATTGATATCTCTGACCTGTAGTTCAGCACGGATAATCTGAAATGGCTTTTCCAATAATAACTGGAAAGGTACTACACAGGGCTCTGTGGGACCACAGAGCTCCTCTCGGTCCAATTTCTCATTTAGAAGCAAATCACCAGTCAGCGGATTAAGCAGTAAAAATCCTATATTTTGATCGGAAACAATTCTAGCTCCCCGGGCTGACAGTTCCTCCACCCCCAACCCCAAGTCTTTTGCTAGGTTGGCCACAGAAGTGCCTCTCTGAGTTTCCTCTGCCACAGAATACTGAAGCGGCTCCGCGATAGCCCAAGACACTCCCAGAATTACACAAAGAAATAGGACTTGCCTTTTCTGCGCAGTTCGCTCCAATCTGGCTTCCATCCTTTTGTCAGTTTTCCAAAAGCAATCCCACTCAGCCTCAAGCAGTTCTCGGAAATGGCAACAACTAAATCCTTAAAAACGAGCTAGATAGTAGCAGTTCTTGAGAGGAGAGACTCGCATTTTCCCTTAACGAAAATTACCGTGATTTCTCTTGCTTTCTAGTCAGACTTCCCTTTGAGACTGGAATCAGTATGTTGAGACTGGAATCAGTAATGTCCTCTGTGAGGGTATTTTTTTTTTCTCTTTTTAGGCAGCAGCGCCACCTTGCGGTTTGTAGTTGTTATTCCCGCTCTCAAGACTAGACCCAAAACATGGCGGACTAAAGGTATTTGGCACAGGAGTGAATTAACCCCTTGTCTTTGCTGTTTCATTCCATCTTTTCCCTCAAATGATCACAGTAAGGGTAGTACGTAACAGCTCACCCTCTTTTCCCCCTCTGATAATCTGAATTCGTAGAAAAAGAAATGTGTTGTTTTCTTAAATCTCGGGCCATTAAACTCTGGTTCCCTGCCCAAATGAGAAACCACAAATAAGAATAATTCAAAGAGCAAAATAAAAGAGAAATGGTAGGAACAGGGAGGTAGACTGTGGAGATAAAGAGGGAACCTGCGGAAGTGGAGGATGGAAGAGTAAAAATGATCAAGATGAAGTATGTATACATACCAGTTTCTTAGGATGAATGTAATTGTTATGTATTACAAATACATATTAATAAAAAGCAAAGTTAAGAATTTCGTACATTTGCTTTATGACCGGTGAACCAATTAACCTTTCAATATGAAAATATTTTTTCAATTGAAAAACATCCTAAGATGATGAAAATCTCCTATTTCAAAAATTGTTAGTAAAGAGTATGAAAGTGATACCTACATAAAAGTCAAGTACTGGTTGAGGACCTATCATTTATTTGTTACTCGTTCAGCAATAATATATATCCTAAGACAGAATAGTGGCCTTCTTTTCAGTTTTGCTGTGAATTCAAGGATATTTTCATTTTCAGCGTTTTCACTCTCTATGTATGATATTTTGTAGAATATTTTCTGCCCTGTAACTTTCATGCTTCACTGGTTTTAAGTAGTATAGAAAAATTAGTGTTCATATAAAATCTCAAAGACGAGAATCTCCAATATATAATGGGTACTCTGAAAGTAGGTCAATATTGGCTTTGTAGAAAAGTTTCTCTTATTCCATCTTTTTGATGGTTGATCTCAATTTGAGAAAAATACTTTTTTATGAAGATCTTCCTTCATATTTACAGTAATTTTTACATTTGTTTAAATTATCCATTTATTCTTTGGATTTTTCACTCCTGAGTCCATGATTTAAATTCAAGTGAGTCATGATGCCCTATTGTTCTAATGCAGAGATGGATTCGATATGTCAAGATGGCCTTAGGATTTTTCTGGGCCATGTTGTACTATGTTATAATTTCTTTGGTTTTGGTATTGAACTATCATTCTGGCCTCAAAGGGCAGTTTAAGATGTTGTGCATATATTTTCATATACTTTTATAAGTATATTGCTATTTGTGTCTACATGATTTATTATAATTTGGCTTTTACACTCTTTGGATTTGGTGGCTTTTCTGGTAGTAGACCTACAACGATCCTTTCCATTTTGCCTTTTGCTATTAATGTTTCAATTTTGTTCTCTTTTTGTGATTTGTTTTTATTGAGTGGGGTTTAGGATATGGGATAGGAAATGTCACATTGGGGCACACCTCACTCCTGGCCCCCTTAGGGAATGTCCATTCCAGTGTTCCTGGATGCTCTTTGGAGCTCTTTCTTCTTTTTCTTGGCTCTGACCTTGCTGGCAGCAGCCTCCCTAGGTCCACTGCTGACTGGCTCTTTCTGAGAAGAAAAGTTTATCTTTTTTCTTGGGGACACTGCTGCTGACTGCCTCTTCTGGCTCACCAGCTGTTTCCTCCCTGGGTAAAGACTTCTTCCTGGGCAGAGTTGTGCTGCTACCAGCTGTCTTTCCAGATCATTACTAATCAGCTTTTTCTTGGGAAAAATTCGTTTTCTTGGGTTTGGAGACAGAGACAGATAGATTGTCTGTTTTGTTCTCCTGAGGAGCCTCCTTGTTCTCTTTTTAAGTAGCTTGTACATTATTTCTAAAAACACTCATTTTTTCTGGTTATTAGCATTCTATTTTCCTTGTATACTTTAATACCTTTAGTTATAGCCCCATTCTTGATATCAATGTTATTTTACTCTCCTTTCTATTTATGGGAAGATTTGCAAGAGTGACTTTGCTGATCTTAAAATGCATGCTTCATAACAATATATGATCTTGGTTCAAAATCAAATAGTAGTAAGGGGCTTATAATGAAATATAATAGATCTCTACCTTTTTTCATCTCATTGTTGCTGATTTCCTTCCCAGAGGCAACCATTTTTAAAATTTTTTTTATGTCTTTTGCCACTAACAGCATTTTTCTTCATCTTCTTTTTTTGATTTTTGAGACAGGGTCTCACTTTGTAGTTTAGGGTGGCCTTGAACTCACTATGTAGCTCAGGCTGGTCTTGAACTTGTGGTGATCCTCCTGCTAGCCTCCCAAGATCTAGGGTTAGAGACATGTGCAACCATACCTGGTTCAACTGATATGCATTATAATATAATGTGATTAATTAATTTTAGACATTATCAATTGACTCCTTAATATGTTGGATTAAATTTTTGTCCTTTAATGCCTTAAATGTTATCTGGAGATTTATTTGATTTATACTGTTCAGCATCTTTTCTGTTTCTTCTTTCTTTCACTGTCTTGAATTACTTTCTCATTTTGGTGTCTTCCCGTAGTTTCACAAGAACGATGTGGGAGAGTTAAATTTTACTGCAATAGTAAATTTACTAAAATATCTTTATTTAAGATATTTGATTGGAGGTTTGACAGTATAAAGTTCTAGGCTGAAGTAATTTTCTTTGATAATTTTTAAGTGTTTTTAAACAAAGATCTATCTAAGCCAATGTATTTGCTAAAATGCTTGCATCTAATCTTATTTTTATCTTCCATATGTGACCTGTATGTTTATTTATTGTAGTATTTTGTCATTATCCTCAAGCACTGAAAAATTGAACAGTGAAATATTTTGGTTTGGTCTTATATTTTATCTATTATACAAGAATATTGATGAACCATTTCACCTGCAAAACTAATTTACTCTAGTTCTAATTAATTTTCTTAGCTTGTATTTTCTCAAATTATTTTCCTGATACTTTCATTCTCTGTTTCTCTATCTCTTTTTTTTTGTTTGTTTTTCTTCTGGTACCAGGAATCAAGTTCATGACCTTGCACTTGCCACGCAGGCACTGTGCTGCTGAGCTAAATCCCCAGCCCCCTGTTTCTCTATCTCTATCTCTGTCTCTGTCTGTCTCTGTCTCTTCCTCCTTGTGCCCCTGTCTTTGGAATACCTAAAATTCAGATGCTGGACTTCCGATGTGGCCTTTCCCTTTGTTTTTCACTCTTGTTTACAATTTTAAAAAGTCCTCTGACTTGTTTTAATTTCCAGCCATTTCATTGAGATTTTAACTTCTTTCTTATGTTCATATTTTCAGGTGCCCTGTATTTATACTTATTTCTTGGATGCAATAATTTTTCATCTGGTGACACTAACAAGAGGTTTCTTCCCAAATATTATTCTGTCTGTAAATTTTCTATTATCTCGAAGTCATCATTTTTCTTTGCTTGGACTTGATCATATTTCTTTTTGGAAATTCTAGACTTACGTTTAGGCTAGGGTGGTAGGTTACTCAGTGAATGGAATGGAGCAATGTGGTTTGGCCACTATAAATAATTGCTTCTTGGTCCCTGGAAGCTTAGGCTCAAAAGCAATAGAAAAAGGAATTCAATGAGCTAGACAAAGTCCTTACAACCAATGATGTTTCCCATTATATCACTGGGCAATGTCATCCTTTTCTACTTTTAGGAAGTGTATAAAAATTCAGGGTCAAGAAAGTTTGAACTCCATTTTTCCTTGAATTTTCCTTTGAAACCTGCAGCCTCCTTTGAATTATTATTCTTGCTGTAAATTAGAGTTGAGGTGAAATTCCTTCAGCTGAGACTTAGAAGAAGGGCAAAGGTCATCTTACCACTGTTTGGTACTGTTGATCAACAAGGCAAAAGAGATATGAAAGCCTGCAGCCAAGTCAGCATCTTCTGTCTAACTATGAGCTTCATTGAGAACTCGAGACCACTGTGGTGTCCAGATATTCTGTTCCAGTGTGTAGTCATCAATGTAGAAGTTCGGAGAGACCACTAGGGAAGTAACAGTTTGGGTGGTTGCTGTGGCATCAGCTTCCTGGTCTCAGGCTATGGTACCATACCTTCAGGAGCAGGAGGTCAGGGATAATCTTCTCACTGCTGCTTGTCCAGTTCTTTCACTGATTTTGTAGTATGCAAGTCCTCATATAAAATATCATTGATTACTGTCTTAGTTTCCTCTCATTGCTGAGACAAAACACCTGACACCCAAAATTAGGGAAGGAAAAGTTTATATAGCTCACAGTTTATGAAGGTTCCAGTCTGTAATCAGTTGGCTCCAAGGCATGGTGGCATGGCACAGGTGCAACAGTTCATGGTGGCAGAAGACAGCGAAAGCAGCAAGGGCAAAAGTGGGGGAGACAAGCCTCTTTTCCTCTCTTATAGTGTAAGCAGGCTATCCCACCCGCTACCCAGGACAGGTGTAGCTCACACAGGCTCCATGCCCTCCTCTTGTACAGGATCGGGATGTTTACAATGTAAGGACCCTGGCTCCCAGCTGAATTGCTTAGGTAAACTTCTAAACTTCTCAAGTTGACACAATGTATCAACCAGTACATACACAGAAAACCTCTGTTTCTCCCCCTCAACTCTAATTTACATAAATTTAAAATTTATACTTACATTCATGGTATAATGAACAGGAGCTTTTCAGAGTTTGTAAAGGAAAATGTATAAAACATAAAACAAACAGTTAAGGCACTGTTTTCTTAAGCTAACACATCTTTAAGAATAAGGAAGAAGAAGAAATTTCAGATGTACGATGGAGAGACTTAAAGAATAAAAAACATTTAATGAGCTTATTGTGTGCATGTGTATGTTGTTATATATGTCTATTTAGGCACACTGAAATAGAACATGGCCTGAAGCTTATCATATACTTCTTTTTTATCCATTATTATGTAACACAATAAGTCTAATTAGTTTAAAAATTCATCTGTGAATAACTGAAGAAAGGGCTTAATATGACATCTTGTATTTTAAAGGTGAAAGTTTGTTCACATATTTTAAATGATATATTCTTAGGTGAATAAAGCAAGTAGTAATTATTGTAAATAGTAAATGAACATTTTATAAAAAAGAATAAAATATTTTATTACAGTTTTATGTTTACTAATCCAGATATAAAGGCTAAAATTCATTCATTCTTTAATTCAATATTTATTCATCTATATTTATTTCAGTATATATTTTTAAGCCCATCAGATAAGGAGTCTTCTCTATAAAGATTATTACTTAGTGCAGAAGGGAGACCAGAAATTTGAATAAGCAGAATATCTAATTAAATAAAAACTAGATTCAATCAAGTACAGTAAAATAGCCTAATTAATATATAATTGAAAGTGTGGAAAAACCAAATCTTCAAGTTAAAGGGAAATTATACAGAGCTTCTTATTTCTGAAAATGATGGTACAGATAATTCAGATGACCCTCTTGTGGAAAAAATAATGGACAAAACTTTAAATAAAAACTTCTAAAGTATTAAAAACCAAATAATATAGTAGAAAACATAAAGAAATAAGATCATTTCTTAATGGAAGCCTGCAACTAAGGGGTAAACAGTGTACCAGAAAAACAAAACTTTTTATGTTCTCAGGACATTTGAAAATATTCATATTTGGCTCTGATATAAATCTATGTGGGATTAAAAATATAAATCAAGGCTTGGTGCAGCATATTACAGGAAGATTCTCCTCATAATAAAAGATCCTATAGGACCACATCAGAAACAGTTCAGACACAAAGAAATGCAAACATACCCTCTTCCTCCAACTCCAAGAATTTAGAAATATGAAGCAGATCAGAAAAAAAGAAAAGGAAAGAAAAGAAGAGAAAATTATAGGTATAGATTGGTCCTTGTGTGTAGTTTGAATAGTCATAGATTCAGGGAAAGGAATTTAAGTCAAAAATTTGGCTCCCTATTGATATGTTTTCAGTATCCTGGCTGAAAAGAATAAAAGTCCTTTTTATGAGAGAGGGTCTCACAATGTAGTTTAAGCTGATCTTGAATTCACTACGTAGCCCAGATTGGCCTCAAACATGTGCTGATTTTCCTACCTCAGCCTCCTGAATGCTGGGATTTCAGGTGTGCACCACCATTTCTAGCTTGAAAATCCATGTTGAAGGAAGAAACATGGAACCTAGGCTTTTAGAATACCCTAAAATACATTTTAAAGAGCAATCAATGATGTATGTTAAAGAAACAAAGCCAACATGAATGAGAAGAAGCAAAAACAAAATAAACAACAAGGGGCCCATTCAAACTAAGGCTATTGGAAGTGTCAGAGAGATTTTAAAATTAATTAGGCTTACAATGAGTGAATGAATGAATGAATGACATATTTGAAAATATCTGCATAGATCAAAAAAGGGCACACTTTGTTCCAGGAAAAAGTGAGAGAAAATTATTGTAATCAAGATCTAAAGTAATGAACATAATATATTTCATTATGGATAAAAGCAAGTTGCCCACAGGTAAAGAATACAGGCTGTAGACTTGCCCTGAAAAATATTTAATACACAATGAAAGTATTTACAAGGTTCTGAATGAAAGAAGTTTTGACTACATAATTTTACACTTTGCCAATATTGTTCATGTACACCGATGACAATACAGCAAAGAGGAAAAATTCATGAAATAGTGCACTAGCACTCATGAGTTCTGAAAAAAGCTACCTAGTGATAAATCAAGTCAAATTTAGATATGTGAAAAAACTATGATGAAAGGACTAATATAAATTTGATGTCAACAAATCTTTGAGGAAAAGGAAATTGACAAGAATTTTATACCCAGCTACATTGTCCCAGCTCAGGGACATGAGAATTTAAGAAATAGTGCCTACAAACTCTTATTTAAAGAACTACACCTGAAGAAATGGAGCAAGTGAAAATATGAAACAACATATAAATGATTCAGGTATAGAAAAACTGGGATAATATGACTTAACAGTGAAGACTCAGTTTACTCAATTTCCTTTAAACTGGTATGAAGACACTAGTTTATCTCAATTGCCTCCTTAAAGTTCATTTATATAATGGAGAGCAAAAGAAAGAACCAGGGCCGTGGCATATCTCCCTTTCTCCTCCCTTGATCCTTCAGTGTTTCCTGCCCCCATGTCATGAGGTCTTTCTCCTCTGCCATGCCACCCTACTTTGAAGCTACCCTGGACCTTCTACAAGCTATGAGCTGAAATAAGCCTTTCCTCCTATAAGCTGTGTCAGGTAGTATGTCTCAGAGTGCTGGGATTATGGGAGTATGCTGCAACACTTGGCTAAATTTAAAATTTTTACATATAAATTTTAAAAATAATTATAGGAATTATCCTTTCAAATATATTGTGTTATAAATATTAATGTTTATTTGTACACACATATATATCACAAGAAGTATAATTACCATGAGGAGGGAGGAGGTTTAAGAATATTTATTCACTTTTGTTTTGCAGGGCTTGAGATCAAACTTGGGGCTTCATGAATGCTAGACAAGCATTGTACCACCGAGCTACACCCAGTCTTATTTGCTCATTTGGAACAGGGAGCTACATGATGCCAATATCTAAAATGCATCATAGCAGAAAATTTTTTTTGCAGTGCTACAGATTGAATAATACTGAGCTATATTCCCAGGCCTTAATAAGTACCATAATCTTGGTTTTCAACTTTATAGGAATTACTTATCAAGTTCAAGAAAGTTTTATAGTTTCACACTTTATTATAGTCTGTCTGATAGGTTTAATTAGAAATTATCAGCTTATTGTCCATCCATTTTATAAATTATTTCCATCTACTTATTGTAATTTATTCTTATATGCATTCATAGAAATACTTTATTTTCCTTTTTATGCAGTGCTTGGGAACCCAGGGCCTCTCACATGCAAAGTTTACACTACACGCCTGGACAACCCCACGTATAGGAATAGTTTAGAATGTTAATAAATCTATTTCTGAGTTCTAGAATAGTTATGCTATTTTTCTTTTGTGTTTGAATCATGATTATATTATTCTTTAAAAAGATTTATGATTTAATGACAAAATCAGTTACTTGGAAAAAGTAATAACAAGTCTACAGCTTTTTTCATTTTTCACATAATAGAGCACCTGCTAAACAATATTTTTTGATACAGGGTTTTTCCATGTAGTGCAGGTTGACTCTGCACTCCCTATGCAGCATGGGCTGGTCTAGAACTTGTGGCAATCCTCCTACCTCAGCCTCCAAAGTGCTGGGCTTACAGATATGTGCCACCATGCCCAGCTAAATGATAACAGTTTTGAAGAAAAACACTGAGAAAACATCATCACATGAAATACTGGTTTATTTGTGAAAAGAAATCCTATTTTTCAAACAACCCAACAATTTTTAAGGCCACTCACTTTTTTCATAAAAGAATTATTTTTGAAATTGAAAACCCATTATTTACAAAAGAGTCATGCTGATAATCAGAAAGTTTGGGGAAAATTCTCTTAATCAAAACAAGATATCAATGAACAAGCTCAAATATCAGGAACCTCAAAGTATCTGTGATTTTCAAAATTTGACCAAAAGGGAAAAAAAAAAATGACTACCTTGAGAAATAAGATACAGTATTTCTGCCATTGTGTGCATAGGTTATGTGAGATGCCTCATACAGTGTACAAAATGGAAAATAGTTCAATAGATGAAATACTTATAGATATGACACTAACTACCACTTGTAAATATGTAAGCTCTTTATGTGAATGAAAGGTTGGGAATTTATAGATAATTTTGAATGAATGTCACAATTTATCATGTCATCAAAAGTACATTCCTAATGGAACTCAGAATAACACCTGAAGTTGCCATTTCATCGGTGTTCCTATCATGCCCTTCGCCCAAGTTTATGAATATTGGTTGAACAACTTGTAAGTCCCCAGTCACAGAGCTTCCTGCCAGGTAAACTTCATGCCAATAATTTTGAGAAAAGATCCCGCCACTCACATCCACCAGGTGGCCCGGTAAGTGACCCTCAGGCACCAAGCGGCAACATTTAAAATGAAGAAAATGCCATAAAACATTTTTGTATTTTCAGCTTAGCATCAAATATGTAGAGTATGAAGAAACAAAATGGGTAGAATTAGGTACAAAACGAAAATAACGTTTGTTTTTATTAAGATGGCTCATCACAAGAAATACCGATGAGAAGATCATAACGCTCAGGAAAACCAACAGCATGCATGGGTTTCGGATGGCAATGGGAAGGCAGTAAAGAAGTAGAACGCAGCTGAAGTACAGTTCAGTGATATAGTGCGAATACCCTGGGTCCGGGTCCTATCTAAAGCGCCAAAAGCAAACAGCTCTCCAAAAAGCAAAAAAGAATTTTCCTAAATGGTGTCGATAAAATTCAATGGAAAAATCCATTACAAAGGAAAATCGAACTTGTATCTGAAGGTGAGACATTTTCCTCCACGATATTCACATGCTGTATCTGGGTAACATAGGGATAAATGGAAGAAAACAGTATCACAATCAGATCGCTACTGGAACCCCAAACTATTCTGGACCATAGCATTTCCTTCTGTCTCTTCCCCAGCACTCTGGGGAGGGAGGTTGGGGAAAAATGGCTTGAGGAATTTGAACTCATCTGTCCCAGTACCTCCAGAGAGACACACCTCATACTGGTAGCTGTGGGCCAGGGTCCCGGCGCCGCTGACGTCCAGCAGGCGGGCCGGGAAGGGGCCCTCGGGCGCCGGAGCGCC